GGCGTCAATCTGTATGGGGAGGTCACCAAAGGACTTTGTCATGACCTCCCGATCATGGGAATCCAGGCTGGCCACATTCTCGGCAAGGTACCGCACCTGAGCCCATGTGAACTTCTGCTTGACCATGTCCCGAATGCGTGCCACATGGGTAAATAAGGAGCTGCGATGGTCTCGCAACGCTCCCCGGCGGTCAACGTTGAGTCCACTCACTCCTTGACATGGGGGGCCAGCTCCAATGAGGACCAGCGACGTCTGAGAAAATTGGCAGTCACACCTTCTGCAACGAACACCGTGGCTGGGAACTTGCTCTCAAGCACTCGGCTGGCTGCCTTGTTCACCTCGACGCTGATGTGTCCTACCACGGCTAGCCCACAAGCATCTGCTGCTACCCGAAGGGCTCCTATACCATCAAAGAGGCCAATGGTCAGTACTCCATGAAGATCATGAGGTTCTGCCAGGTCGCCCCTCGCGCTCGTCTCCGATGCCGCTACTCCGAACCCAGCCAAGCCCGTGCTGACTGTCAAGCCTCCCCCCGTCGTCGAAGCGTCGCTGGCTGTGACCTCTGCGGAGATGTTCAACCGGAAGTCCAACTTCGCCAACGGAACTAGGCATAGAAACCTGGCCACCTCAACTTTGACTCCATCCGGAATGGGGAGCTTAATCACTGGGGGGTAGCCACGGAACTCCTCGATGAACCTCCATATATGGTTCAGGCTTCCCAGGAGAGGACGCCTGAACATGCTCAAGTATACCAAGCCCCCTGCAATGACCTGGGCTTGCTTCTGACTGCTCATGGACTCCTGAAGGAACAGGATTGATAGGGCCGTGTACTTGTAGACCTTGGAGGGCTTGGGATAGGCGATCCCCAATCTTCCGTCGATGATCGCACCCTGGACTTCAGCCACCAAAGATCGAGACACCGCTTTCTTGGGATGACGTGGCACTCCCCATGCTTCGTACTCAGCCCTGAGAGCTACAATGCCTGGGCTACACTCCCCGCTCAGGAGTGCACAAGAATCCTTGGGCACCTTCTCCAATTGATCGAAGTTGTCCAGGTAGATCCGATGAAGTGTTGAAGAAGAGGAGAACGGTCTGTCCTTCCGGACCTCCTGTTCAGGTCGAAGTCCCTCACCGGTCCTGGTTGAAGCCATCCTCACAATGTTCCTATGAACATGTTGCGCTATACTGGCGGAGTTCTTGAACCCCATAGGCAACACCTGCGAAGCAATGTAGTATGGTCCCTCGTCTCCTGGCCACATACTCCGAGGTAGTGGTTTGTTGAAGGCCAGGAAAGGGTGCCACTCACTGGGCACCCGGAATATATAAAAAAAGCAGCGCGCATCTTCAGAAGATACCACCAGGTCCTCTGTAGGCATCAGCTGCAGTGATCCCATAGTCGCCCAACTAGGGAGCGTTGCAACGTCTCCCTCAAGTCCTCGGCAGACGTTGTTGCAAGGCCTCAGGTCCATGATCAGGCGGTGGATGGGAGTCGCTCCTTCCACTTCGTCCTTCTTGACGCCAAAAAGGCCGTTCAGGAGAGGCTGGCCATCAATGTGGTGGACCTGAGATTTGGAGAGGATAGTGCACACTCCATTCCTTGTCAGGCCTTCGCACACTTCTTGCCAATGATCATCGTGCACCAGTACCCGAGGCCCTTTCGTGGCCTTCTGCATCTCCCCGGGTAGGAGATACTCCGTGAAGTGCTCAACATAGTGTTTGCACCCCAGCTCGCACACCTCAGCCAGGTCTACAGAGGCAATCTCGGAGGGCATAGCTGGCGCCAAATTGGCCCAACTGGTGGACTGTGCACAAAGGACCTCGTCTCCACAGTAGTCAATGGTCTTCAAATGAAAAAAGTCCTGCCACGAAGTCTGCTCCAATCTCTCTGGCCAATCGACTGCCACTTGAGCCTCCCTAGCTAAATGCCTCACTGCCTCAACCTGAAGAGAAGTAGGGTGGAAGTCGTTCTCAGCCGCCACCCCATAAAAGAGGTTCAGCGCCATGCACATTCCCCTAACCACTCCAATGACATCCGGCTCAGCTTTCGTGCAGTTCCCCAGGTGCAACGTGTTGGTGGGCAATGGAAACACATCACCCTTGGGCTGGGCCTTGCATTGCATGTCCAAGCCTACTTTTGGACAAAGATGAACCAACTCGCTCACCCTCAGGGAACAACCTGAATCAAACTGTCACCTACCACCGGCGGCCGCATGCAAACTTTTTCTGCAGACAAGGTCACCAACGAGGTCTCATCCGCTGAACGGCGCGAATCGGCCAGATTACCCGGCCCGGCGCCTGCTGATGCCTCAAGCACTGTGCCATCGACGTGACGGCTCGGCCTCGAGGCTGATGGAAAAAACGTGCCCTGCTCTTCAAAGGGGGCCTCATAGTTGGAAGGCGAACTCCCTCCGGCATCCAGCTTTGGCGAAACCTGGACAGTCACTTCTTCTGATCTCCCCGATCTCCTTTGTCCTTTCCCTTCTTTCCTTTGCCCTTCGCTTCTTTTCCTTTTCCTTCGCTGCCAGGATCTCGCCAATGCCAGGTGTCTGACTTGCTCTTCCCCTTGGATGCTTCGTTGCGAGTTTTCTGCTCCTCTTTTTGTTCTCTGATTGCCTCTTTTGCTTCCCCCCTTGAGGAAAGAAGGGGTCTTTCCGGTGGCAAAACCTCGAGCCGCTGCGCTATTTGCCAAGCGGAGCCCTGTGACACCATTTCGACTGACTTCAGCCGTTGCACCAGAGCGTCGACGCATTCTGCCATCCTTCCTTGTAAGGCCAGATCGATGGCCCAGCAAAGGGTCAATCCTTCGCGACCAGGTCCGCCTTGAAGACGAGGGGCCAACGATTGGCGGAAATACTGGACCGCCAAGGGCTGTATCGCTGTTTGATCTTGCTGCCATAGGCCACCTGTTGCTGTAAGCAAGCTGGTCTGCATCTCCCGCATTGCTAGGGCCGCTAGGGCCCCCGGTGCCCTCTTGGAGAGCCTGCGGACTTTCTGTTGCTCCTCGAACACTTCCACGGACTCGGAGGTCGTTGTCTTGCCGCTGCTTGAACTCCCCGTTGAATAGGAGTCCCTCTTTCTCTTCTTGGTCTTCTTCTGGGCCTTCACGGCATAGCGACGCCTGAACCTGGGGTCGGGGTCCAGGCCCGTCCCTCCAAACACCTCCTTCAATTCCTTGCGAGCCCCTGACTTCAGGTCGATCTTCTCCTTGCTCTTCTCGGGACTCCTGCCTCGCTCTTCGCTCCTCTTTTTCTTCTTTTTCTTCTTCTTCGCCTCGGACTTCTCCTCTTCTGCAGCTGCCTTTGCACTGCTCCCTTTGCCCCTTCCTTCTTCCCTCTCTCCCCGACCAGGAGGGGGGCTGCTCCTGAGCTCTCCGGCTTTGCGACCTCCTCGATCAAGTTTGCGATCCATGGATCGTCCTCGCCTGTCCTCTTTGAAACGGTCACCCCATGGATGAGGTCCTCCGCTTCGAGCTTCTCGGGGCATGAATCCCCGCAGAGATGAACCCTGAGCTTCAGGCCGGGATGGCCGGTGGCCCATCTGAGCAAGTTCTCCTCTGTAGTGCCTTGAACTTTCACGTGCAACTCCACATCCTTGGGTGTCCTGATGTAAAGGCTCTCGACCAGACCGGCCACCATAGCTCGGGCGCCCCAATAGACGCCCTCGAGGCATATCGGCAAGCCCCGTCGAAACACTTCCAAAGGAACCTCCTCGCATTTCGTCTTCTCTCCTCTCTCAAAACTCACTCCGGTAGAGGCAAGGCGTAGTACCTCACCCCTCAACTCTCCTTCAGCCTCTGCTTCACCAGCCTCTCTTGCGGCTGGCCTCCTCCTCACTGCCCCTCCCCGCCTAGGAGGTGCCTCTTCCAATGCTCCTGCCGGCCAACCCTGCTGGGTGGCATCGCCTATTCTGGTCCTCAGCTCTCGTCTCTCTGAGCCCGATACCAGTGCCTCTCTCTCTTCTTTGCACCCTTGTTCTCACCGTAGTACTGCGGCTGCAACTTCCACGCAGCTGGCTTACCGTCCCACCTTTTGACCGCTGGCCTGATGATAGGTGGGGTCCTGGAAGGAGGTTCGTGCCTCCCCGGAGGTGACTTCGAAGGTGTATGTGGAGGTCGAACGGAAGGCCTCGCCCTCAGCTCTGCTGGCCGTGCCTCTCGATCTCGCCGAGCGGACTCACCTGCTGCCTCACCTCTTGAACTCCTTCGGTGCCTTCTCCCGCTTCTTGAGCGAGTCTTGCTAGCCCTTTTCTTATCCCTGTGCCTTCTGCTTCGCGTCCTGCTCTGTCTCCTCGATGGCCTTTCCGGATCACGGGGATATGCCTTCGAAGAACTCGTGTGCTTGCCTTCTTCCTCGGCCTCTGTGGGACTGCTCTCCTTCTTGATGGGGCTACTTGGCTTCTCTTCCTCACGCTTTGCTTCCAACCAGGCCTTGTCAGGCTCGGATGTGCCCTCCTCAGTTTCTGCTCTCCCCGGACCAGGAGACGGATTGGTAGCAGGGCTTTTGGCTTTCGAAGCCGCTGTCTTTCCTGCTTCCTCCTGCAGCCTTTTGTGTTCCTGGAACTTCTCGGCCTCCTCTTGCAAGATCGAAGTCCAGATGCGAAGGCTGCTCACTGCCCACGCGCGAAGTCCCACAGGAAGGTCGTCACACACGGTCCAAAAGCGAGTGCGCGAGCGGCAGAAGGTGCAGACTGCTTCTGTCTCCCCGGACGTAAGGAGACCACAGTCACGGCAGAGCATCAACACGCTGTTGAGCCAAACTCTGTGGATAAAAACGATTCCGAACGCGGTCGTCTTAATTACCGGGGTCGTCACATCATATATTGTGTTGTCCTTCTATTCTGTGGAGCCAAACGGAATTGATTCACCCGGTCACAAGCTTTGCGGCAACACCCTGTGACAAATCACCTAGGCGTCCTTGCGTTCATTGTAAACAGCACAAGGCTCGATGAGGTTCATGAGTGACTGGCATGTGACTGACCGACTGACCATCTAAGGGCCGTGCGCATGCAAAAGCTTCTGCACCTCAAAATTGCTCAAACTCCCAAGCCACCTGTGATATCCCAAATTGGGCAAACTTGACATTCTTCGAGTACTTCATCAACTCTTTTTCAAACACTTCAGCTTCATACACATTCCAAAGGCCTTTTTTCTCAACGACTGTAAAACTGCACGAGTCGATGCATTTGGATATTGACGATGTTTGACGTGTTATTGTATAGTATATAATGAAAAAACACCACTGTCTCAGCGCAATGTCACAAGCTGTCACAATTAAGTATTGACTACTTCACACCATAAGCTCTAATATTGCCAAACTATCATGGATAGTAGCGTGCTTCCCATGTTCAACAGTTGGTTGAACTGAGCCAACAAAATCAACCTGTCTTGTCAGTCCTGTCGAGCTGAAATCATTAAAACAACACCAAACTACCGAATCAGGCCGTTGGCGCCCTTGGCCCCTGACGACTTTGCGTGGTATCACCCACAGCCTTGCTGAAGCACGACCACGGAAATCAGTTGCGACCCTCATGCCCATCCCACCTCACAGCTCTTGAGTTTCCTGACAATCTACGTGAAAGTTATGGACAGGGACTGGGACAGAGAATAGGCAACTTTTCTTGTGCATAGGTGGTCCGAGGTGGGCGTCTAGGCCGAGTGAGAGGTCAAGGAGGGGTTCTTCAGGGAAGCCTATGCGGCCGCCCTCTGTCAGGAGCACATCAACAGAGCTGGGAGAAACATGCAAAAGAAGCTACTAGGAACAAAGGGCATCGCTACTAGGAGCAAGGACGCTACTAGGGGCCCCTGGACGTACTACTAGGAGCAAGTAGCTACGGGAAATGCTGAAAAGCACCGGGTGTCCCTCACGAATTCACCGATCCGGCGGTCACACGGGAGCCAAAGATGAACCTGCACGGCGTTGGGAACTATAAGGTCCATGGTTGGATCACTTCAAGCACAACAGCAATGATGCAATGTGAGCTTTCATGCAATCTCAGCGACAAGACCTTAATAGGTCAGGCCATCCCAAATACTCACAGGTTCCGCTTGGTGCTCAAGACCTTGAGCTGAGCTTCGACTCATGCTGTGCCGCACCTCTTGGTGACCCCGAAGACGACCTCTTGACCAAAGACTGCATTACCACCTCGGAATCGAGTGAAGGCTACAGGCTACCCCTGTGATGTATGATACATAAACTAACATAACATAACATCCTCATCCTCAGCACATTGAAGTAGCAAATGGCACTTGTCTTAACAAGCAGCTATACATCTACAAACAACAGCTTTAACAATGAGGCTGCAAAGTGCCCCTGCCCGTCAACTCGGATGCTTCGTGCATCTGTGTGCCTTACTAACGTACGCTAAGACTCCGGCTCAAAGTGGAGATTCGTCGGCCATCGAACATTAACTGCGCATCGAGAACACATGTGACAGTTGATATATATATATATATAATTAGTACCGATACCCTTTCCCTTTCAGTGACTTGCGTTTTCATGAGTCCAAGCAATCATCGGTTTCTCCGTCATGGTGGATCCTTCCAAAATAAACCATGCATACGCCGCCTCCAAAGTAGTGTGCCCATCTGGCGGCGTCACGAACAGGTAGTCCATACCTTGCATGTTTTCGGATTCGTCTTCATGCCGCCATGAACGTTGTGTGGGTGCAAAACAACCATTTTGAGCCTGTTGTTTGAGGTTCTCGGCTCCCTCGCCGTCCGACAACTGATTTTTTCGGGGCGTGACACCTTCTTTTTTGAGTGGGTGGGTGGGTGGGGGGTGGAGGGTTGGGTGGAGGGTTTGGTTGGGGGGGACAATGACAATGACGAACGACATTGATGTTTTGGTTGACATGTGCAGATGTTTGTCTGTTTTTGTGTGGTTGAGACTACCTTCGGGTGACTACACCAATCGGTCGGAGTTTTGCGGTTCAAGCATGCGCAGGTTGAGTTTACGTGGTTTGCTTTCGTTGTGCTACGTTTTGTTAATTCGTTTGTCGGGATTTTACTATTTTTCTTGGCCCGGTCCTTTGTCTGGTTTCTTTGTGTGTAACCCCCGCTGCTGGTGGACTGACGTTTGGGTTGCTTTGTCTTTGCACATATATAGCACTAGATTCACATCGGTTTTTGGACTTCGAGTGTTTAGAAGAGTTTTCACACTTGTTGAAAGATTGTTGGGATCACAGGTTACGTTATCACAAGCACGGTTTTATTCCACCATCAATCATGGCACGGTCTTGCAGTTACATGTGTTAGTGCCAGTGCTGACCATGGACCACCCAAAAAAGTACAGGTGCCAGCTCCGAAAAAGTACGGGTCGCGTAAACGAACACAAAACTTGATTCTCGCTGTGGCGATAAACACAAATCAAGACCGGATTACGGTAAATTTCAATGAGAATAAGGGTCTGCAAATCCATAAAAACCTTCAAAACGCTGCGAGGGTTAGAAAATGTAATGCAAAGGGTCAAACAACATGAGCCACCCTTGCATCGACGGCGACAGAGCCGTGAACCTTGTTTGACGTCAACATCTCCAGAGATCTATCAAACAACCAAATGAACAAAAGAAGAAGCCACGGCGAGGTTGGATGGATAGAACCGTGGCGAGCATACTCCATCGAATGGCTTTGTATGAACGTCATCCATCTCTTAAACTTCTGCCCAGGCATCACCTCTGTGGGTTGTATCATCGTAAGCTGGCTGACAAGAAAAGCAGAACATACACGCTTTGGGGATCAAAGTGCCTGAGCAAAGATTCACATTGTTCTATATTGTTCTAGAAATGCAATAGGATGTCAGAGCATGTGAGATCTATGTATGTTCTAGGTTGGATTCCTCATATGTCGAAGTACACAAACAGTTCCAGCTTAAGATCTGATCTAGGAACCACATGAATAGTGAATTGTGTGAGCTCTTCTTCAAGGAAGCTCTCCGCAGCCCTCAGGCGGGAGGAGTTTCCTTGAAGAAGCGTGAGCTGTCCTGCGTCGGAGCATAGTAGCTACTTAAGCTTAGGAACTACCATACTCTACCATTCTTACTAATATACTGTATATAATATATACTTACTTACTTATTCTTACTTACTTCCTTCCGTCCTTCCTTCTTTGCTTACTTGCTTCCTTCCTTCCTTCCTTACTTAGCCACCCCCACCCAGGCTTAAAAACATAAAAGCACATAAATTCCTGTAGAACAGGGGAACTTCCAAACGTTAGTGTCTGACTTTCCACACCATCTTGCCAAAGCTCCATTGGTCTCTGGCTCAGCATTTTGCTCCACGACAGTGACCTTGGAAACAGCAAGACTGCAAACCTCTTGGATTTTGAGAATATCCGCTTGACTTTTGAACGTGCTAGTGGAACACACTAAACATACATCAGCATTAATAAACTCATGACAATATAACATAATTCACATAATATAGATACCACCATAAATAGCAAACTATATCGAATCTGTATGTCTAATTAAATCTATACAGTAATTGAAAAATAAAAGCAATGCAGCTCGACAGAAAGAACTGTCCGCACAACATGCCGACCCTCAGTGACAGTCTTCAGATTCTGGACTGGATCAGGTGGACAACTGGGATGCACCAGTTGTGGTGCCAAACGTTCCCGCAAAGACCTCAGACTGCACGTCACCTTGATATGATATGTGTTCAACGTCAATGTATATATATATACCCAGCTTTGATACATGGAGAGTGATGGAAAGTTGCTCTGATACAGGAGGTTCCATTTCTATGGACAATAGGCCTGTGCTCATCTATATAAGGGCAAAGTCGTCACGATCTCTTTCCTTTGAGCTCGTCTTGCTGCACTGGTGCAGGGGCACTTCCAGAGTTGGGTTTTTCGTTGGAGCAAAGTCTGTCTGCATTGGAGATTGGAGAATTCTAGATTCTGTAGCCCACTCTGGTCAACACATCAGCTACTTGTGCTTGAGCCCACTGTTGCTGGACATATCCACGAAAACTACTGTATGTGTATAGCAGTATTAGCAATGTTAGAAAGGGAATCTCCATGTTGAAAGTCATCCGGAGCTGCAACTGACTGTTCGTGGGCACTGATGCTGAGGTATGACAAACAACCGCCGCCAACAAACTTAACAAAATCGCACTTGCCTGACGTATATGAATTGTATTTTAGTCTTGACCGAGGGCCGGGCGTGCTCAGATCCCGAAAAAAAGGATGCTGCTGCAAAAAGTACAGCCTCACCTGCGGGACTACAAGACTCGAGACGTCCCATTGATCACTGACAGTCAACCCACTTTGTCAGCAAGCCATGACACTGGAGGGTCATCTCTGCTGTTGTTCTGCTTATTTGTGGCCTGTGGATCGTCCAAGCGATGAAAGCGTGTTGCTGGGTCACGGATCTTGTCCTTGGCCTTGGGAACAACTTGAAAGATGTCATTCGGATACAGTTCGTAATTAGCATGAAGCTGGTTGAACCTGCGAACCTCCATGTGTTCACTTCAACTTATCCTGAGTGCTCGGCCCCGGGTCCTTCTTTGCGCCTCATTGAGGGCACGAAGCCAAACTCAGTGAAGTCGCTCGTTTTCACTCACCCTCTCCCTCTCCATCTCCCTCCTCTCCATCTCCCTCCCTCTCCATCTCCCTCCTCTCCATCTCCCTCCCTCTCTCCCTCTCTCCCTCGCTCCCTCTCTCGCTCTCGTTCTCGTTCTCGTTCCCGCTCTCTCTCTCTCTCTCTGTCGCATCAGAAGTCATCAGAAGTGGTATATTCGTGCATGCTTTAACGGTCTTTAACGTGGGGGCTTCGAAGTGCATAGGGACCAACATGCGCAGCCGATATGTTCTGGTTGATCCTTCTTGCATCTGGTGACTCTATACAAGGTTGCTACCCTGGCAGAATCTGTCATGGTAGGCCTTTAACACTATGTCACTATGCTTTCTGCAGCTCGTTTGACCAATTATGACTCAATTGGCACTCTGACATCTAAGATCTGATCTGGAATAACTGTACCCCTCACCAAAAAGACAAGAGGCTGATGGTCCCGTAGCCTTGGTGTAGCTGTCAAGTGACCAAGTGGCATGCTCGAGACACCACATGCTCCATGATACACGATGATTGTGTGGCAAAATTCATCACCATCCAGGTGTCAGGAATCCAGCTTCATGGTGCCCGCAGTTTGAGAGATCAAAATTGGAAATACTTGTACAAATACCTGGACCTGAAGTCGGATCAAACTTGGCTCTCAATGCCACCAAAACGTGCAGGACAGGTGCCTCGGATATTATACTTCTGGTTCTATCCCAAACTGTGAATTTCAAATCCATACAGATTATTCCCTGACTGAAATCTCATTGCATAGTTCAGATTTCCTGAGAGTATGCAGAGGTACCCGAGTCTCGACAGGTGGGCATTTCTGTTGGGTGTGAGCAACACAGACGACATGACAACTAGCGCATCATAGCGCTGCGGCGAGGAGCTTTGACAGGTTGGTGGAGGCCGGTTTTGACAGCTGTATACACAGTAGAACTGTTTGCAACGTGGCATTGATTCAGCCTGCGCTTTCAGCCCCACCTAGTTAGCTATTCCCAAGTCCCCGGCGATGAGTGACGCCTTGAGGTGGCGATAACCTGTGTGGTTGGAGGGTTCGTTGATTCTTAATTGCAAAGCACGCAAAGTGTCGTGAGTCTTGTAGACTTTTCACAGAACACAACGGGTTTCTACAATAATCATAAATCGCACAACTATTGAAGTCTTGAAGACCACTACTGTTGCCAAGTGGCGCACCGCACGGAAGGACTCCTATAGTAAGACTTCTTAAATAAATTGTGATCTGAATCCTGGCCGTGGACGAGCTTCTTTCAAATCCCATGCCGAGAGAGCACAACAGCCTTGTGGGGCAGCACCACTGCTCGACCTCTGATGTTCCTCAAGCGAATGCTTAGCAGCTAACTTAGCACAGTTTAGATAGCTTGACAGAATGGAGATGGTGCTCCACTAGATTCTTCACTTCGACAAAAATGTTTGCTGCCCCTCTGGGCGGCCAAGCTCAACGGCGCAATCTCTGAGCGACTCCAGCACCGCAGAGCGAGGGGTCGAGCGGCCCACCTGGGTTTTTACAAACTCAAAAAACTCTTGTGCAACACTCTTTGCTTTGTTGTTGTAGGACAACCTTACTAAATCGAAGGTCCCGCAAACAGCACTGAGAAGCAGCTTTATTAAAGTTTGCGGCACACTGCCGCACCATACTCACCTTGTCCGTGACCTTCTTGTTCTATATACATCCAAACAATCCCAAACAGAAACAAACCATACTCCTGGACACTCCTGAAGCGATGCCCTTTTTTTGCCAAGAAACCCCAGGTAAGCCGCCTTCCTCAGGCGAAAGCGTGGGCCTCCGCAGTGCACCGTACTTTCATACAGCCATGGTCCCACCCCTGACATCCTGTTTGCAAAGTGCTATGCAATGCCACACAATGCCTTCTGGGAACACACTTTGGAATTGTGGACTCAGGAGATGGGTTTGTTTAGTGCTTTGGACATTCCAGACCAATCGGCTCATGGGCCTAAACAAATGTATTCTTCCCCAAGCAGTGTGGACACACTAGGGATTCTTGCGGCGAGGGTCAGGCACGCAGCAGTGTCTAATCGAGGTGTTATCCATGTCCGGCTAGTTCGCTGCTATTTACAGTGCATTCATGCCTCTAGAAATCCTCGAAGTGCATTTTGACTTCGCAGGCTCGCAAAATCTGCTTGGCGGGGGTGCTTCTCGCGACTGTGCTCTCGTTGTAATGCCGTGTGCACTTTCGGACATGATGGTCACTTTTCGTAGCAGGCGCAAGGGAAACCTCGTGCTTTGGTGGTCCAAAGTCGACTTTTCGTGACAGGTGCAAGGGGAGCGGTTTTACTTCGAAGTGCAAATTTCGTGGCAGGCGCAGCACTTTGGACATGGTGGTGATCTTCGACGCGCTCTGATTTCGTGACAGGTGCAGTGAATCGTGACTTCTCTACATGTTACATGTGGCAGGCATCAGCAAGCATGCAAGAGTAATCAAAGGTGTTTTCTCGTAAGAAATAGCATGAAATAACTAACTCAACTAGACTAATGAGACCGACATTTGGAAGCTTCCAAAACCTGACTATCACTCACACTCAGGCTTTTGCTCGCAAGGAGCAGATCTGAGGCAACAACAGCTTTGAGACTTCAAACCAATGAACTTCAAAGCCAGGTATCCAGTCATGAGTCATGAGTCGTATCCAGTGTCAAAAGTCGCAGAAGCTCGGGCTACTGACTGGAAAAACCAGGAAGCAAGGAGAGAGAGGGAGAGAGGGAAAAGAAGAGGGACAGGAAGGACACATGAACGTACTTTGAAGCAACACAAATGTCACCTGGGATGTGTTTACAAGAAAGGTTGTGACTGACACATCCGTGGGCATGTTGAAGTAGTGTGAGCGTGGAAGCCCCTGGCTCTGACTGCATTTCTTGGATGGCTCTACACATGAACGAGAAGCAAGTTTAAATCTCAATGGCACTTCGTGGTCGGTAGCATACACATGGATATTGATGTGCACTGCAAAAGAGGAATTCAATGGAATTCACATAAATGTAAAGTTGTAAAGTGCGCTGCTGCTGCTGCTGCATCCATCTGGAAAAGTCTGGGCTTACGACATTTCACGACATGAGTGACAACATAGTATGGCAAAGGCATGAGTAAACAATAAAAACAGTTGTTGAACAACTCTACAAATGAGCTCTCAGTTTCATCAACGGCTATGCCCCAGCTTGAATTGACGATACAAAGAGAAATAGATTTGAGTATAGGACAACGAGCACAGGTCATGTTCAAGTGAGACGCTGTAAAACATCAAAAGCAATCTCAAGCCAGCTTCAAACCGGCCACTCCCCTTTTTGGGGGTTTGACTCACTGCCCCATGTGAGCCAAGCTGGCGGAATCAATGTCTTGCAAACTCTGATTGAATGCACCCTATAACCTATATAGAGGTGAAAAACGCATTTCAGGCTCTTTAAAAGGCTCTCGTTAAAATGACTTTGAGTGTAGTGTAGTCTTACATAGTCTTACAGTGTTTCTCTGTTGAGGAACTGACCATCCTGCTCTCCCCAAAATGCACGCATTAGCAAAACACACTTGGCAAGCCGTGCAGCTCACAACTCAACACACTTGGCATCGAAAGCCGTTCCTTCAGAATTGACCCTTGACATCTGAGACTGACTTTGAGATGCAGGATGATGCAAAAGCAAAAGTGTACAATGCAACATCAAAGGACTCGACTTCATCACAAAAGAAGTGTTGAATCTCACCAAAGAGCGCGTGCGCAATGCGTCTTTGTTTCTGCATATGAATGCCACACAGGTCTTTGTCCTACGGAGAAGCCCATGAGAGCAAATAGCTGAAACACTTGACTTTGTGCACAGAATGGTTTTAACCAACTCTGCACTTTGCACAGAACCACGCCAATGACCACAGGCAACCATTGAACCTAGAGTATATACGCAATGAACGGCTGCGGATTTGTCTTCCAGGTGCAGTGGCTTAAGGTTCTGTGAAAGGTCATCATCAGTGATACAAATTCTTACAGCAGCCGTCTGCTGATGTTCCTGCCTCTGCGTTTGAATCTACTTTTGACAAGGAAAGATTGCAAACAAGTCGACATGTGAGGACCAACGCGATGGCTTGCAAGAGGTGGCAGATCGACCTCCACTTTCACAGCTACGTCCCTCAGCAACTAAGCTGATTTTGTGCAACCCCTCGTGTTGTTCTGAACTGCTGAAGTGTGACAACTAGAATTGTGGCAACTTTTTGGAAAAGGTACCTTGGAAGCTCCTTTTGGCCATTGTGTAAGTCAAGGATTAGGCAATCTCATGTAATCTCGGTATAGCCAGAAACCAAGTGTTCATACTTTCCGTCATAGGTCTTGCATTTGATCATGTCACCCACTCCGAGTCACTCCTAGTCTTGGCCGAGAGTAAACGGTGGATCCAACTCACTCACAAATGGCCTCTTCTATTTGGTACAGCAGACTGAGGCCTTTGTCGCCTCCCAAGCACGGCTTGATCGTGACTTCTCTGTCTAGTCTCATGCTGTGAAAACGACATGTCTAGGTCTCAAAGTCACTCTTTGCATATGCATTCTTCAGTTCTTCTCCCACCAACCTCTCAGCCTTATGGTTAACAAGCTCACTTTCAAAACCAATCCAGGGTGTATATATATATATAGTAATAACTGTAGCCACAACTATTTGGAGCAGGGCCAGCAGGGAGCACAACACCTCAGGGATTATGATTTGATACAGTTTGACACTTCTTGATCACGAGTGGGACGAGTTTGAAAATGCCACCAGCGCCTGGGAGCATGGTCCACATCTGAAGGAGCCCTGTCAAGGAAAAGGTAAGAGGTTTACTTTGTCCCGCACTCGTACCAGCATCCAGCTACTTCTTAGTTGCAACCTCTCAGGCAGCGACTGGGCTTAGACATGCTGGTTGTAGATGCAGAACCATCATGACATTTTTCCGTATACAGTAAATCTCCCTGAGAAACTCTTGCACTCCTTGGTGCTTCGGTTGCATCAGGCTGATCCAAACGCGGTAGACTCCTGTGCAAGTCGTTGATGGGAGCACAGAACAACTTATCAATGGCCAGGAGAAGAAGATGGGATCGCAACAACACCGCAAGCATGGTCGCCTATCGTGTCAAATATCTATGTTTAGCAGTTTGGCAGGCCACCAACCAAGGGCCAATAGGCAATAAGTGCATCTTGAGTAATAAAGTTTGTTGATAATTGATAGTTTAGTTTGTTGTAGCATGCCACACCTGTGTACAGAAACTTGTGATTGTTGCCACACCCAATGTCGAAAAAGTTATGCTATGCACATTGAAACAAGCAGGGTGTTTACGTGTCACGATGCATACAGCAAAAGAGATGGGCGGGGCCTATAAGACAAACAATAACATGCTGCAGGGATGATCGAGGTATGTGAATATGAACGTCTCACACGAAAGCCGAAGTGATTCAAAGAGATGGCACATGTCACCGGTCTGGAAGAGGTCCTCGACTGTTCCACCACGTCTGAAGGCTGTCCTAAGATCAACATTTGGTCACTTGGACGATGCGAACTGGATGCTCATGGCTCTGGGAACTCACTCCTCGTGCTCTTGAGAACCAACAACTGAGGGTGAGCATCCTGACCAGACTTTTCTCAAATCACACAGCAATGGAGTCAATGGAAGTGGACACATGGCATGGCCTCTTCTTCTGAAAATGAATCAAAACATGCTGTAGCATGCACAATGCACTGCGCCCTCTCACACTGCCTGAGTCTGTGCCTCCGCACTAGATTTCCCAGCTGTTGCAGGCCGTGAGGCTGATTGAGATGTCACCTCTCAAGATTTGTTGACCACAGTCTTCCATAGAAAATACATAAACAATTACAATTACTTCAAAAGGCATGTTTATCAATTTAGCAAAAGGCATGTTTGACAATTATTGCAACAATTACAATTTGTCAATTACCTGAGTCTGTGCTGCTTGACTACATGCTGCTGTACGTTTACAGATCTTCTTGGGGCTGAAGAAATGCTGGTTTGTGGCAGTCAGGAGATATTGCTGAATCTCATGTTTGAAGAACTTTCATGATAAAATGAACTAGATGCCGTGACATTAATACAATATATATTATATAATATATAAACACATTGTTTTGCCAACCACTGGGGCTGAGCTTCAAGTGTTGTACTGATACGTGCGGTAGGTATGAAGTGTAGCTGCATCACACAGTTCGCACTAGATACATTTCACTTGTGATGACTGATGTGCTCGCCGCAGTCGGAAAAAATCTGGCCTTGCGACAAGACCTTAGCCAAGATTTCAAGAAAGAAGAAATGCATGGAAAACACGATACATCAAGAAGGTGACAGCTGCCAATCCGATTATCTGCATCTTCTGTCCAACCAGAATTACGGCTTGAATAGGGCTGGACGAGCGCAAAAAGGCTCGACAACTTAGAAAGTTCATTGCACACAATCTTGTATTGGAAGTTCCGTCCACAACCATAATTGTGCTTATTGCTAATTTCATCCCCTACAATTTTAGCCTAGTGGCCCGTCAATGACTTGCATTTTCAGCTTGTTCTGGATTTGCAATTTCATCGCCTGCGCTGCATTGATCCCCTGGAATAACTTTCAAGAAACAGTGAAAGGGGCCTAAACGGGGGTGATCGACAGGTAGAAAGTACCAGGAGAATTCATGAATATCCGTTGGCAATGACGGTGGGTGTGCATTTCGGCCGGGGGAAACTTGAAGTGCGGAGGCCTGCCGGGTCTCTCGAAGATGATCCAGGGCACTCCTGGCCCGCCGAGACCGTCGAGACGTTTCAATCGTTTGACAACAGCAAAGACTTAACGTCAATGTTCATTTACACTGAGGGATACAAGTCAACAGGTGCGACATGCCCGCAACTGCGCATTTATATATCATTTCATTGGACATTCCACCTGGATGTTGTTGTTCACGTTGCTTGCAAGTTTGGCATAGTCAGTGGACAGCAGCTGCGCTGTTCACTGTCACTGACGTCAACAAATCATCCTAATATTAATTCAGATCTTATTGCCAGCACTTGGCTCCTGGTATCTTCCAGCTTTGCTGCCTGCACCAACCAAATGATGGAACAAATTTTGCTTTTTGAAGCCGACATTGTGCAGATTGGTTTCGATGTGCCTATGTTGTCGAGTTTCTTAGTGGAGCTGCTCAGGGCCATTCTGTTGAAGCCCCCAAACACATTCTGCCAGCATGTTGGCCAAATCTACTTTCGAGGAAACACTGGGTGGCATCCTCTGACCTGCTTCCGAACATGTTGGGATGGCGTTTAGGTCGGCTGATGTTGGATCAAACAGAGCAAAAAAACAATTGCAATTCCGTAGTGAGCTAGTAAAGTTCCTGCTTCTGATACATTGCATTCTTTCCGCATGTTTCGAGCACGGATCAAAGAAACTGTGCATAGCCTTTGCCAGGTTCTCTTTGCCCAGGCAACGCTTGATGGACTTGGCCAGCGATCGCTCCGCGATGGCGATTGTGTAGTCTACCTCAACGTGAGCCACCAATAGAGACCAAGCCACCACATGCCACCTCTCCTTACCACACCCCTTGGACATCCTTGAACCTCTCCCGCTGTTGTCTTGTTTTGGATGTTTTCGTGGAACCATGTGGAACCTAAAACCTGGTTTCTCTACGGGGCTGCAACTGGTTGGCGTCTAGTGAGCGGTCATGCTCAGGTCATTCCATTCCATTCCATTCCATTGAGTTTAAGTTTTATGTCGAGGGCACAACAAGACATGTTTCATCCTGCCTAGCGCTTAGGTGAATTGTGTTTTCCTGCTCTGTTAGCTTTGCACAGGTTTTTGAGTTGTTCCATCCTACTGCGAATCGGATATCATCTCTCATTGAATGTGATCGCAAGTTCGAAGCATTCCCCATCCTTGGAGGTACTTGGGCTGTCCGATCCAGTCTGCTCCGCACCTCACTGGCTTGTTCTCTCAAAGCTTTTGCGGACTTCTCCGTTTCGAGCAGCCTGGACCAGCTGATTCGCACCCTTGTTCTGGTGAACAAGGAATCAGGATCGCCCAGCTTTAGGGTCGAGATAAAGCATGACAAAACAACCACCTCAAGTCTCAAGTAGCAATAGGCTTCCCCCAACAACGATACCTGGCTGACTTGGGCCTTCCCTGACGAATGGATCGTATACGATTGAATATCTACAGTATGTATACCTGAGAAAGGACAGGATGAAAACCAGTGAGAGGCCAATATGGTAGTGCAAGACTGGGAGGAAAAAATAGCGGAGCACTTCTTGTTGAATGCCTGTAGCTTTCGTGGAGCTTGTATCAACGTGGAGTAGATCAAGATCGGAGCACAGCATGAAGTGTTGAATGTTTTAGGTTTTTTCGATTTTCCTGGCGCGGTGCTCTCTGGAGCGTCCCTGTTTGGTGGTCTATTTGAGAATCCGTGTAAAAATAAACGTCAGTGAAGACCAGGAGAAGGATGCCCGAAAGGTGGTTCTTGTGTTTCGGGCATCGTGCATCAATGCAAAGCCCTATAAAGAGCAGGGCTGGGAGAAAAAAAGAGGAGAGCACCCATTCTTGAATGGTTGTAGTTTTCGTGGAGCTGGTATCACTGCGACATAGATGAAGATCGGAGCACAGCATGAAGTGTTGAAAGTTTTTAGTATTCTTGATTTGCTTGGTGCGGCGCCTTCTGCAACGTCCCTCGTTGGTGTTCTATTTGAGAATCCGTGCAAAAATAAACGTCAGTGAACACCAGGAGAGTGATGCCCGAAATGGTTTTTGTGGTCGTGGTGTTGAAGTGTGTTTCGGTTATCGTGCATCAATGCGAAGCCCTATAGAGAGCAGGGCTGGGAGGAAAAAATAGCAGAGCACCTATAGTTGAAAGCTTGTAGCTTCGTGGGGCTGGTATCACTGCGACTGAGATCAAGATCGGAGCACAGCATGAAGCGTTCAACGCTTGCAGTGCAGCTTTCTTGCTTCTCCTCTTGCGGCCCGTTGCGGCGCTCTTATCCCCAAGCCTCTACCTCGCCCAACTGGACATACTCACGTCGTTCGCTCCCAGAGCGTTCACTCTTTGTTGCTTGGTCCTTCTTGGTATGATCAGAGCTACACAGTTCCTATGCCCTGCTCAGGACTACAAAAATTGTCTCCAGACCCCTTCATGATGCTAATGATGCACTACTCGGCGTCAAATGCATCACTCGCATCACCAGACCCCATTTTCACTGCTTTTCTGACCCTTGCTTTGGAGCGCTCTCCCCCACCAAGCTCCGGGTTCATCCTCTCAAAATGTGCCATTTCGCGCCCTCCCCCTCCCACACCCCCTTAACTCACTTCGTTCGCTCTAAGAGCTCAAGCCTAGCCTATCGGCTGGCTTTCGTAATTATATACATAATAAAATTAAATATAAAATATAAATAGATAAATATATAAATAAGATAGATGGCCATGCACTGGGGAAGGTGCAATGCACAAGCTTGTTTCAAGCAGCCTAGCTCATGGTGGCCTTCGGTCTCGTGAACTTCCACTCAACAGATTGAAAGAGTGTTTGCACAACCTATGCAAAGGCAGCACATGCTTGACTAATTGATGTGCTTGGTCTGCACAACACTGGACAATTCTGAGGTGCCTGTTTTCCAAGAATAGCTCGGCCCTCCGCCGCGCACGGAAGCAATTCTTATCTGTGCTTTGGATAGATTTGCTACCTCATGATGGCACTGGCAAAGTCGGCAACAAGCAAAACAACCCACCGTATGCCGTATGACTTGATGAATTCATGATATCTCTCTTTTGGCACGAGCCCAAGTTGGTCTTGGCAGAACACCCCCCCAAAACACCAAAGCTATGCTGTTCTCCCAAAGCTCCGGCTGAGCCTCCGGCAACGCGACAGCAGGTCCTCTGCTTGAACCGCTAGATAATTCGCCCGGGGCAAAAGCTCCCGGTTGGGCGGCGGCACATCCACTTCTGGCAGGGAAACGCATTTTCTGTGCACGATTCAGGTTTGGGACGCAAATGGAACCGGCCCGGACGTGTTTTTTTTGGTTGGTTCTATTCTTGAGACCTGGACGCCTTCAAAGTTCACAGCGGAACGTCGTCATTATCCTATATAGTCCGTCAACAGTGGCAGGATTCTTTGTTTTGTTATCTGAAACTAGGAAGGAGAACCTTCAAGGTATTGGAAATAGTTTTTGAAATAATAAGAAATTCCATGTCCTATTTGGCTCAACTTGGAACGGTCTGCAAGAAATTTAGAGAACTGCATCCAGTCACAAACAACATGCTCGAATTATGCTCGACTTCTCAGTTGCGTGTGCTGATTTCTCAGCCATGCCCCAACACAAGAAACAACCGTAGCCACCTTCTGGTGTATCCGCAGAGACGGACATCAGTACTGCTGCGTTGGCTCGACATTTTTCCCCAGCAAGTCGCTGGCTTGCTGACTCCTTTGCAGCAAGAATAAGAAAATCATGAACGCATACAAATGATTGCAAATGTATACAAAATCTCACAAGAATCCATCAATCATGGGTCTGGGTGTGTTTATGAGGCTCTTGGCAAGACCTTGACCGCGAGCAAATATCAAGAAACAATCGATGGAAGCAACTTGAGGGTCTTCATGAGACTGAAAATGTTTGACGTATCCAACTTGACACCTGTTGCGGAAACCCAAGGCTTCGGGCACTCCTTGGAGATGTCGTTGCGCAGCCTTGCTATCACTCTGACTTAAAGGCACCCAAGGCCCAAGGACATGATTGGGGGCGATGCCCTTGTTACTAGCAGCTTCTTGTTCCTAGGACTAATGCCAGGAGCTACTGGTAGCGTCCTAGCTCCTAGCAGTGAAGCCAGGAGCTACTAGTAGCTCCTTGCTCCCAGTAGCGATGCCAGGAGCTACTAGTAGCTTCTTGTTCCTAGTAGCGACGCCAGCAGATACTAGTAGCTTCTTCCTAGGAGTATTGCCAGGAGCTACTAGTAGCGTCCTTGCTCCTAGTAGCAATGCCAGGAGCTACTAGTAGCTTCTTGTTCCTAGGAGTATTGCCAGGAGCTACTAGTAGCGTCCTTGCTCCTAGTAGCGATGCCTGGAGCTACTGGTAGCTTCTTGTTCCTGGGAGTAATGCTACTGGGAGTAATGCCAGGAGCTACTAGTAGCGTCCTTGCTCCTAGGAGCTACTAGTAGCTTCTTGTTCCTAGTAACGATGCCATCTCACGGGTTTTTACAGCACTCTGTTCTTGCATCTGTCCTTCTTTCTGTCATATCAATTACAGTCTATTACAGTATATATATGTGTTTCAACTTCCGCATCTTTTTGGGGTTGTGCTCCTTCGCCGT